AAGCCATAACAAACCGCTTTAAGTCCCTACACACTGAAATCAAACGCTATGTTGCAGATATTCACTCAAATATTCAGTTTGCGCAAAGCGCTTGATTCGCCCTTGGATGACGTAACGCCTAGATTTGCATATCACAAACCGTTTGATTACTTTTGATTGGATAATGCTAGTTAGGCTTGGTTTTCCCACATTCCCTGCTAATACGGATCACATTGATTCGATATTTCATTGAATATCATCATTTTTGGGTATGTAAAGATAATTTTGGACATGAGTGTAATATAGTTGCAGTAGCTGCTGAAGTGTAGATAAACTTCCAAAAATGAGTGTATTTTTACACAAATTAGCTTTCTAAGGAATAATATTCGGAATGGCTTAAATAAAAGGAATGTAATCGAATAATCAGAATAATTCCTTTTCTTTCTTTCTTTCTCTCTCTCTTTTTTTTTTTTTTTTTTTTTTGCAATACATTATGCAGTATGGAGGTTGAGAGGTTCTTCCCTTTCTTCGCAAATATTGAAGCAGCAGTTTTTTTTTTTTTTTTTTTTTTTTGCCACTGTCCAATCTGGATTGAATAGGACTGAAAGTTTTGCGGTCTACCCAACCCAAGCGAAGAATGATTCTGTTCCGAAAATTTAACGCAGTCATTTCAAAATTAGAATAAAAAAACCTCGGATTAGTAAGTCTCTTTCTTTTTCTTTATTTAGTTCTTTATTCTCTGAATACTGGCAGCTGTTAATTTCAATTGCGTAATATCACGCACGTATTGCGCAATAACGTTTGCGATATTTTGCAGAGATAATTAATTTGATGTTCAGTCTGAGATTTATTTATGAACACTTAAAAGAGTTTTACTGTGTTTTCAAAGCAGAATATTTCTCAGTTCTGTTGGTCTATTTTTATAAGATGCACATATCGAAATGTCAAAATCATTTATTTAGCAGAGAAATCTAAAGAAAGGCTACAATCTCCCCCCCTCCTCTTTTTCCAGTTACGCTCGATTATACGGAATATTCGGCAATTTCCGAGTATGCGGGTTAGTTAAGCTTTTACTGGTAAAAGATGACTGCATGAAGCAATTTCCCGTCTCCTGATTTCAGAAATGCTCTTCTTTTTTACTTAAATTACTTTGCTTGGAATATAGGTTAAGAGAAAACTGTTATGCAATGAAAATTTAGAAAATGTTCGGAATTTTGATTAAGTTAAATTACTTAAATAATATAGTGGAAAAATAAATTGTATTTATATTAGGTGCAAGCGAATACAATAATATGGCTTATTATTATTATTTTTCTATATTTCGAACTGAAATTTCATCATTAAATCTTGTAATATAGTTTAATTCTGAATAGTTTTTTTTTCCTCTCTCATTGTAAACTAATTCTGTAAATTCAACTGTCATTTAAAATTTTAAAAAAAAAGTGAATTGTTTTCCATGGTTGAGCTAATGCTTATTCTCTTAATAAATATTGCATTGCTCATATTTTAAATTGAAAGTCTAATTTTTCTTTTAAGGTTATGCAGTTGTGTATAATGTAATTAGACAGGTGCTTATTTTTTTTCTTAAAATGTGCTTGAAAAGTGCTTATAGGTGCTTATTTTTTTAACTAAAATGTGGTTACGAACCCTGCAGTAGTAATAGTAACTTCTTAGAAGTTTTTGTGTACATTTGCCCTGTTAATGTGCCATCAATAAAAGATCCAATTCTCTTATCCTCCAAAATTCCACACCACACGTCTACAGGCCATACTTCATAAACAGCTCAATAGTGCATGATAAGACAATTTACTTCACCGTGATTTGTGAGAGTGCATTTATTAAAAAATGATATTGGATGGGAAAAGATTTTTCTCAGTCTGGCATATGCCTGTTTATCCATTTCTATCCACAAAAATGACATCAGCAAAATCTTGATGTGATAAAACATGCTATTTCAGAATTTTTAAAGCATTGCTTTTAGAAATTTCTGAATTGGTAGCAATTCTTGAGAATTTTTATGGCTGTTCATTGCAGAAACATTTCTGTAACTGGGTAATTTATTTTTTTTTTTTTTTTCATAAAGCTGTTCTACAGCACAATAAAATAATAATTGTGAAGAGGTTCTATCAAGAAACTGTTTGCAAATCAGAAGCATTGCCTGTTATCTCTTATATTTTCCATAATAAAACGTTTCATCTTTTTTCCACTACAAACAGTCTATGTCATTTTCTACTCTCTGTCAACATAAGATCATGTCAGCTTTTTTCACTACAGACAGGAGATCCATTTCTCAGTGACATATGCAAGATATTAAACCAAGTGTAAATAATGGCTGTAATACTAACATTATCTGCAGAATGTCTGAACTCAAAGCAGGGTTCGTAGCGGTCCTTATAAGTGCTTATAAGTCCTTATATTTAAAAATAAAATATAAAGGTCCTTATAGGTGCTTATGTTTTCTTTAAAGCCCTTATTTTTTTTATTTTAGTGCTTTTTTTTTTTTTTTTTTTTTTTTTTTTTAAGGAACGCACGTTTTTTCCCCGTACTAAAGCCGAAACTAAATAAACAACTTTTCTTCCTAATATTGAATGTCAGATGGTGAGTCATACTCCCGGAAATAGCTTTTCCCCCTTTCTCTGCATTAACATAACCTTTGGTGTGCACGAAGACTACAGACATGTGCCCGCGTTCTATTGGTCAAAGAATTGCGAAAGCAGAAGAAAATTCCGGCACATTCGGCATTCTTTCCCTCCCACCCAAATACTACACATGTTTGAATTTCTATCAAGATCTTAAAATTTGCATTCTCGTTCTGCTTGGTCGTTCATATTCGTGTTGATTATGATCGTTATGCTTATATTATGAGCATATGTATGAAGTTTATAATAACATAGTTGCAGTAACTGCTGAAGTATAGTAACTTCCAAAAATGGGTGTGTTTTAACACAGATTAGCTTTCTAAGGAATAATATTCGGAATGGCTTAAATAAAGGGAAAGTAATCGAATAGTCAAAATAATTTCATTTTTTTGGCAAATACATTATACAGTATGAAGGTTGGGAGGTCTCCCCTTTCTCCGCAAAATCTTGACAATTGAAACTGTTACAATTCGCTGTAAAACAAGCAACAGACCCTTTCCCCCCCCCCCCCCACTTTCCAATCTGGATTGAATAGGACTAAAAGTTCTGCAGTCTACCAATCCAAGCGAAGAATGATTCTATTCCGGAAATTTAACGCCGTCTGTTGAAAATTAGAATGAAAAACACCAGTTATTTAGTTCTTTATTCTCCTAATACCAGCAGTTGTTGATTCTGATTGCGTAATATCACGTAGGGAAGAATTACCACGCACGTATTGCGCAATAACGTTTGTGATATTTTGCAGAGATAATTAATTTTGATGTTCAGTTCGAGATTTGTTTATGAACACTTAAAAGAGTTTTACTGTGCTTGCTAAGCAGAATTTTTTAGTTCGTTGGTTTATTTTTATATGATGCACATATTGAAATGTCAAAAGCATTTATTTAGCGGAAAAATCTAAAGAGCGGCTACAGTCTACCCCACCCCTCCGCTCCTTCAAGTACGCTCGACTGTCCAAATATTCGCCAATTCCAAGTATGCGGGTTAGTAAGCTTTTACTGTTTAAAGATCGCGCATGAAGCAAATTTCTGTCTTCTGATTTCAGAAATGTTCCTCTTTTTTACTTAAATTACTTGCTGCAATATCTGTTAAGAGAAACTGATATACAATGTAAATGTAGAAAATGTTTCAGAATTTAGATTTAAATTTTTAAATATCAATATTGGTGGAAAAATAAATTGTAGTATTATTATTCTAAGTGAATACAATAAATATGCCTTATTATTATTTATTTTCTCTATTTTGAACTGAAATTTCATCATTAAATTTGGAATATAGTTTAGTTCTTCATAGTTTTTTCCCTCTCATTGTAAACAAGTTCTGTAAATTGAACTATTATTTAAAATTAAAAACAAAAACAAAAACAAAAAAAAAGTAATTATTTTCCATGGTTGAGGTAATGCTTCTTCTCTCTTAATAAGTACTTCATTTCTCATATTTTAAATTACAAGTGTAATTTTTAAGGTTATGCAGTTGTGTATGATGTAATTAGACAGGTGCTTATTTTTTTAACTAAAATGTGGCTATGAACCCTGTCAAAGGCTGGTGGAAATAAAATGGAAGTGGATGATTGTAGAAGTTATCCTTCCTTCCTGTGTACTACATGTACAAACTTCCCTTTCAAGATGCTTCACATATATAGCCCAATTATATTAATTAATTACATGTACACTTTTCCTCGGGATTTTCACTCCCTAAGTACTGCCATCATTGTATGGGCCATTCACTTATACGTACTCTATCTTAAAATGAATAATTGCATAGTTAATTTTGTTTTTCAAATATTGAATTAGCTGTCTATGAAATAATGTATTAAATTTAAAAACATTTTATAGAGAATCAAAATCGTAAAAACAACCTTGTATTTAGCGTAAGTATTTTATAGAGAATTTTTTGCTATTGCACAAGATATTAGACTAAATTACAATTAAACAAAGGAGGTGTTCTATAAAAAAATGTTAGATTGATCTTCAAAAGACTTTAAAAAAATGATCTTGTAATAAAAATACATAATGATTCCTTTCTGCTGAAAGTGTATAGTTTGTGTTTATACTATATTTATACACACATATGTAGATTAAAAGCAGCAAATACATAACAATAAGTGTCACATAATACCATAAATATGTAATTCCATTATCTTAGGAAAATGAAACTTGTTTTATGAATGCGGATTCTTAAGTCTTTATGATCCGTTTAATAATGAATAATAAATAATTTAAAAAAAATTTTTTTAATTCCATGCAGTAAGAAAAGTGAAAATGGTAAATTTAAAGATGAGTTAGAAACTAAATATTATGTGCGATAGGTAAATTTGAATTCTGCATTTATTATTATTATGTCTGTGATTAATATGGTGATTTTATTTATACCTTTAACTAGGTTGAATTTCCAGAAGCAAGAATATATGAAGAAACACTAAATATATTATTGTATGAAAACAGAAATGGTCCTGACATGGATCTTATGCAGGCAACTAGCACACGTGGTGCTGTCGCCATGGGAACAACTTATACAAGTGATGATGAAGATGAAAGACGCACTCCTGGTTCTTCTTCTAGAGAAAGTAGAGACAGTTGCCATTTAAATCGAATACGCAACACCAAACAGACAAGTTAATGATAACTGGAAAACATTTTTTGCTTATACCTCTTAATACATTGGTTCCATTTTTTTAGTCATTTCTGTTATGATATTTGAAATTAATCTGTATATTTTATTTTCTTATTGTAAATTGGCTGATTTTTGTTATAATATGAAGCTTTTCATTAAAAGTCACTAAAAGTAATAATATGCTCTTAATAGTTCAGTCGCAGAAGTTTTAAAGGAGTTCCGTTAAGAAAAATTATGATATTGTTTTATTGTAAAATTTTTAACTACAAGGTATTTAGGTATTTAAAAAAGTTTCAGTGCATGGAGTACATTGGTGAAATATATGTAATTGTTTCATAATATAAAACTCACATATTTATGTTTGTGACATCTGAAAACATATGTTAGGAAAACAAACTTCTTTTATGGTAAATACTATCCTTGTTCTCTGTAATGATTTCTCATTATAGTGACATTTCCATTACAATGATCAGTATTTAAAAAGTCCTTTATTTATGAAAGTATATACTATATTTTTGTCATAACAAGACCTTTAACCCCTTCGAGCCGGGTAGCGAAAATGCGCGCTTATCGCTGAGGCCGGCAGTGTCTTACGCGAGCGTCTCTTCAGGGCCGGGGGCTTTTTTGCTACTAAGCCTAAATCCGTGAAATTTCCGAAGTATCAACGCATTGTTTAATAATGCTCTATAGAGTATTTAAACGGCTTATGCTTATAAAATTTTATATATATACTTTAATTACCTATTTCTTGTTTAAATGCATATTTTACACATTTTATTTTAATTACTCACCATTTATGAATTTTAACATTATACATCTGAAAACTAAATATATTACTTAAAATTCTCTTTTCGTATGAAAAATTTGAAAACAGGGATCTACACACAGTCCTACGTTACATTCCTTGCACTCGTATAACTCATTTGCCGTTTTGGAGGATTTTTCCGGGAAGTGAACAAACGAAGCATCGTCGTCTCATTTTTATCAGTCTCTTCTGAACAAAGTTTTGGAAAATGTCTTTCAGTTAATCTTTCAGAATCAATATCTGAAACATTTGCATCACTTCTGCTATTCTGCTCTGTTAAACATTTTCGACACTTCGACATTGCAACGGTTAAAAACAGAAAGAATTCATCTAACAAGATCTAATTATTTTCTAAAAACTGAACTGCAAACCGAAATACCAGCGCTTTAGAGCAAAATAAAACTTCTCTACTACAGTAAACAACTACCACGTGCGAATAAAGTGCAATTTAAGGAGACGTCATAAATCACGCCATTCGGAAACATTATTTCCCCGTTTGTTTATATAATCAAAAAACAGTGTATGTGAGTCATGCTTCTCTCATTTCGAGTAGAAGGTCTAATACATGTATCTGAAACCATATGGACATACAGTGCCATCTTGTGGCAGAATTATAGTTTGAAAAAAACGTTCCAAAGTACTGGCACAAATACGTGACAGTCGGTAGAGACGGAACAATCTCTGGCACTGTGGTCGGCCCGGTAGGTAAGTGTGTTCGTTGCTGGCACGTATACGTGACAGTCGGCGCGAAGGGGTTAACCTTCTTTTTCCTGCAAGAGGCAGAAGATCACTATAATAGACATCAACTGCATTTAAAAAATTCTTAAATATATTCTTTTTTTAGCAATAATATTTCTTCAATTGCAAACTTATTTTGCATTACAAAGCTATAAAAAGTTTAGATGCCCTTTTGTGTTTACAAATACCTCAACTATAAATCACAAAGCAAATTTTTTTTTTTTAATATTTTTCATCAGTGTACTTATAGACTAGAAATTTTTAGTGAATAGCTGTCTAAATTGCAATTAAAGCAAAGCAGTGTGACATCCATAATATAAAAGTTCTCTCAGTTGTGTAATACAGTACAAAATCCGAGATCCTCGAGACTTCTGGATTTTGGAATTTTTCTGGATATTAGATTATCAGTTTAAATCTATTAAGATGGCATGTAGAAATAATAAAATTAAAAATATGAAATCGTGATTTATGATCTAAAGGGTATCAAAATTTAAGGAAAAAAAGCTTAATATTTATTTGTTTAACTGTATTAAACATTTTTTTTTTTTAGTTGTTTAAGTTGCTTCATTTTTTGTGGTAATACTTTCTCTTTAATTCTATAGACAGACATAATTTCTTCTTCAGTAACAAAATTTCATTGTTGAAGTCCTGTAATTGGTGTGTCTAGAATTTTAATTGACTTGTCAATGGAAATTTTTTCGCTTTCAGCAACCTCTCTGTCACTTTCTTCACTATTGGTAGTGCTGTTTTCTGGATCTAGAATCATACTGCAGATTTCGCCATCCATTAATTAATTGATGATTGACGAGCATTGTTATCACAATAAAAAACTTCTTTTATATCATCTTCATTTATTACTGCTTCTCAACATTTCTTTACAAAATCATTTAATTAATCCGTTAATTAGAAAATTTCACCTTTGGTTTGCAATATCCGAAAACCTTCAGATTCGTGGCTATCATCATAAAGTTTAACTAGACTGGCGACTAAAGACTAGTTGTTCCGCTAAATTTTATTTTGCTTCTATCACGCGCTGAGACAATTAAGCCTAAATTGTATTAGCTTAGCTATTTATTATAATGTACTTAACCCTTTGAGAACGGGCGTTCCATATACACATTCCCTAGGAACGTCTCTTACAACTAGGTGTCCCATCCACGCATCACTAGAGATTGCATTTAGAGGACGGGTGATGCATATACGCAATATAAGCTAAAATATTTTTCTGAACGTAGTGATAAGAGCAAAATGTGATAAATAATGATTCGCCAGGTTGGCGTCGGGGATATAAAATATTAGCAGGTGTAAAATGAACAATGTATCTATGTAGAATGTTTTGGTTTGAGATACATGCCAATCAGATATGCAGCTAAGGAGCCAAATTATTGAATATTCAAATTTATGCTAAAATGATTGTTTCTTCCATAACGAGGTATTTTATTTAGTGGTGTAAAGTGAAATTAAGAATCGGAACTCTCCACATGTGGGGGGGAATCAAATGTGCATGTGTAAAGCGCACACATAAATAAATAAATTTAAAAAAAAATTTGGTGGGGACTTTGAGGTCTGAACTTTAGGTCATTCCGGATATTGGGCGTCTGGATCTTGGACTTTGTACTGTAATATGACTGCTGAATTAGTATAAACAATTCATGTGGAAATTATCTCCATTATGTGCAGTACATCTAATCTATATTATAACCAAAACAGAAGTGAAACATGCCAAAGTGAAACAAAATTAGGAAAGCAACAACCTTGTATTTGGCATAGATTTAGTCAAGAACCCAATCAATTTCGAGGGAAAACCTGTACAGGAGCTAAGAAATATGCAAGACTGGGGATAGTCCCCAGTAAAGTAAGTAAAATGGTGTTCCTTTTAATGTTTTTAAATGTTAGTTTAAAATATATTTGAAAGTATTAATGCCGAAAATGGTAAGTCACTTTAGTGTTTGACAGCATTCCACTATTAGTTACAAAAGATTCTCCTAAACACAAACCATATAACATGTGAGCTTCATGTAGGCAAGAATGACATGGGGAGAGTTGCTTTGTGGCTTTTGCTCAGTGTCCTACAGCTCTGCTCTTGCTTTCACTCAAGTTTTATTCTGATTTTTATTTTGTAGTACAGTCAAAAGTCGTTAATTCGGACACCCGTAATCGGGAATGATCTATAATCTGGACCTGAAAGCTAAAAACTTTCTGCGCATGCGCCGCGTTGACACATGCGCATAGGCGTTTACGCGTGCGCGTAAGACCTTTACGACTGCGCAAATGCGTGTGCGCAAGCGCAGAATACGTTTTCGTGTGCACGTTTAATGTATAACGGACAGTATAAGCTAAAATTATCCAATTATCTATTTCAGTTAATGTTGATAATTGCGTTGTTCCTTAATCTTCGAATTGGATCCGGCTTATTATTTTTTGCAGACTGTAAGAGCAGTTTTATAAAAGTAAACTTGAACTTTCGATTATGTCAAATAGAATTTCCGATGCTGGAGCTCCCAAAGGATCTACAAAACGAAAGTATGTTTCGATGTCCATCAAACAAAAAGTGGAATTGCTGCAAAAAATGGATAAAGACATGAAGAGGTGACAGAGAGGTTAGTGAAAACGAAAAAAATTTCGATTGACAGTTAGTCGGTATTCTCGGCACAGCAATTACGGGACTTGAACAGCGGAACTTTGTAACTGAACAAGAAATTATGTCTGTTTATAGAATTAAAGAGAAAGTATTATCACATAAACGAAGCCAACTTAAACAACTTACATTGAAAGAAATGTTTAATAAAGTAAAAAAATAAATATTAAGCTTTTTTTTTTTTTTGTAAATTTTGATACCCTTTAGATCATAATTGTTCTTTATTTCATAAATTACGGTTTCATATTTTTAATTTTAGAATCTCTGCATGCCATCTTACGAGATTTAAACTGATGATCTATAATCCAGAAAAATCGATAATCCGGAATCGCCGAAGTCCCAACGAGTCCGGATTAATGACTTTTGACTGTATAATTATTAAATAAGATACCATGCAACCAAAGAAAGATAATGATAAAAGCAAAATGGAAAGAAAAATTACTAGAATCATGATAGTGGTGAAAAAATGAATTATAGACAAGTACAAAAATGATGTCTGTGCATCTGATGTTATTGCTCAGTTCGGTACAGCAAAATAAAAGATCTGCGCTATTCTAAAAATAACTTAATAAACAGCAACAAAGAAGCTGATGTTGCAAGAGAAGTTATGAATGATTAAAAGATACTAAACAGAGATAACAAGCAATTAAAGAAGGCAAAGATTTTGCTGCTCATTTGATAAATGAGCAAATGTTAGCTGGTAACAGTATTTGTGAGAAAGCAAAGTGATTGCATGATTACTTACCCTGATATGGTTGCTGATATTGATGTTTTCAAAATTAGAAGATGATCATTTAAGAATTTTAAGGAAAAGTAACATTGTGAAGTACGCTTTTTCAAAATTGCTCCACATTTTAAATAAACACATTTATTATATACATTATTTTAATGTATATTTTGCTAGTACAGTTACATAGCAAATATGCATCATAAAGCTCATCGCACTACATTCTCAAAACCCTCGCCAGCTCTGGCTCTAATCAAAACTTTTCTC